GTATATCAGACCTGTTTGAAACGGGAAGCCCTGTTAGTACTAAAGGGCTTTATTATATGAAGGGCTTATATGTAGATATTACTCTGATTTAGCATCTTAGCATTATTCTATGTGACTCCCTATAGGAAGAACTTTGTGTAGAAGGTGGTAATTGAGATGAGTTTTGAAGGAAATTGGAAAGTCTGGCCTGTTCTAGGAAGAGCCAAGTGTGACCCACTAGGATCATTAATTTCCAAGTTGCTCAGTTTGTGGCTGTTATTATAGTTAACCTTTTTCACTGCTTCTACTCCAATTTCTCAAGCATGCTCATAAAAATTATTTTATTTCATACAAATTTGTATCTAATTCTCACGCCAACAAGTTAGCTAGACTAGACCTCAGACATCAAAAACATAGTCCATTACCCTAAAACCCTTCTGACTTGGTTTGACCTTATCAATGTCTTCCCAAAATGGAGCACACAGAATTGAACACAACTCCCAATGTGGATAGACAAGGTAGAACTTTAACTCTGTTGGAGGTAACCATGTGACACAGTAGATAGAGTCCTGAGCCTGAAGTCAGAAAGATTCATTTCCTGAATTCAAATCTGTCCTCAGACACTGTGTGACCCTGGGCAGGTAATTTAACCCATTTCCTCAGTTTCCTCATCTGTAAAATGAACTGGAAAAGGAAATGTTAAATCACTACAGTATTTTTGCCAAGAAAACCCCAAATGGAGGTCACAAAGAGTTGGACACAACTGAAAATGACTGAACAATAGTAATAAACTCTGTTGACATTGTCTTTGAGAGTTCAGGGTCACCTCTATGTTACAATGAGCCATTGAGTTGTACCTGACTATGGTTTCTAGAATCTATGCTTTTCATTTTTTTGGAACTTGGGACATTTTCTCACTTCAAGTCTTCTGGAACCTCTTCTGTTGTCCATGATTGCTCAGGTGCTTTTTGTCCATGTTCTCATTCTTGAAAGAGAAGGTGGAAAGAAATAAAAGTTGTGTAGTTCTTCCTTCTCACTGTCATTTCTTAACACTATACCATCTGCTCCAAGCAGTGGAACAATCCCCTTCTTCTTTACTTTTCTAGCTCCAAGCTTTAAAAATCCCCCCCCCTTTTTTTTGGTGACTGTACCACTTTTAAATGACTTGGCTTACTTAGAGATTTGGCCTTCTTTTTACTACTTTTTACTACTTTTATATATATTTATATTGCCACATATATTAATTCTTGGTTATGTTCCCTTCTTTCCTTGAGGTGTAGTCCTGGGCTCTTGGACTCCTGGACTCTCTTTTGGATATTTGCAACCTGATTTAATCAGAGATCTCCCTGTGAAGCCATACTGGATTCTTTAGCTGTCTCTTGCCTTTATTAACTATTGGGATTATTGATGACTGCACAGTCAGAATCTTATTTTCAAAAACCTCCCATCCCTCTTTTCTTTTAGAGTCTCTGACCACAAGATCATACCTACTCTTTTCTGCTAGTTTTGAGGGAAATTTGCTTTTCCAACACCAATAATACCTTTCTGCTTGTGCCTAGTGTTCCTTTATTTTCTGGTGTCACAGCCATTTTGGCAGCATGGGCCTTCCTTGCTGGTTGAAGAACATCTGGAGTAGTTGTTTGTGATTATTCTTCTGTCTGGATCATAGACTTTAGAGGTGAAAGGGATGTTAGAAATCATTTAGCTTAATCCCTCCATTTTGCAAAAGAGGAAATTGAGGCCCAGAGAATGACCTTGCCCAGGGTTAGTGTGAGAACCAGGTAGAACTAAATGAGTTTACAACTCACTAGTTGAACAACTTTGCCCAAAGGGTATTGATTAATAGGACCAAGGTCAACTTGGAAAGAAATCTCCAGAGAAAGACAGAGCTGTAAGATTCCACCCTTGTCCTTGTTCTGTTAAATCTTTTTAGTCAGTGACTTGGATGAAATCATAGGAAGTATGCATAAGAATTTTGTAGTTGACACAAAGCTGGGAGGAATAGCTAATATGTTAGATGACAGAATCAGGATTCAAAAAGATCTCAATAGGCTGGGTCAAAGCCAACAAGACGAAATTTAACAAGAATACATTTAAAGTCCTGCATTAAGTTTCCCAAAAAACTCACAAAAAACCCTCAACTGCACAAATATAGACCTGACTTGACTTGTAGTTTATGATGAAAAGATCTAGGGGGTTGACACTAAGTTCAATATGAGCTGACAGTGTGACAAAGTAGCCAAACAAACAGTTGCTGCAATCCAAGTCTCCATTAATAGAAAACACAGTGTCCAGAGCACAGGAGGTAATAGTCCAGCTCAATTCTGTGCTCATCAGACCACATCTGGAATAATGTGTCCATCCGTGGGTAGTAATCTTTATGTCAGCCACTGACAGGTTAAGTGTGTCCTAAGGAGGACAGCCAGGATGGTGACAGGTCTGAAAATCATGTCTTCTAGGATGAGGTGAGTCATTTGCATATCTTAGGCAAGGTCTGAAAATTGCTCCTCCTGTGTGTCCACTGGAGTCTTTGAGCCTTCACTTTATCACACTTATCAAAAAGTAAATACCTTCATGTCATGGAGAGATGAATTTTCTGGCATTAAAATATGCGTGTTTATAAAAAGATTCCTCGTTGTGCTACACTGTGCATTCTCACTCTAGGTAGCTGCTCGTCTTACATTTAAGGAACTAAGTAAACTAGAGATATTTTGCCTGGAGGAAAAAAAAAAGACTCAAGGGATTGTGACAGTATTTGAAGGACTGTCACATGGAAGAATAAAGAGAGTTGTTCCAGAAGGCAGAGCCAGGACCAAAAGGTGAAAGTTTTAGGGGGAGAGATTTTAGTTCTATGCAAGGAAGAATTTCTAGCAAGGTTACCTGTCTAAGTGGAATGGGTTTTCTTATGAAGTCGTTCATTCCTCATTACTCAAAGTGTTTAAACAAAAGACAAATGGCCATTTGTCCTGGCTATGGTAGAAGGGATTCTTATATTATGAGAGAGGTTGGACCAGTTGACTCTAATGGTTCCTTCCAACTCCGAGAATCTATGATGTTAACTTCTGAATCCCAGAAAGTTTCCTGGTGAGAATGATCTCTACTTGACTTCTCCTTTTACATGTTTCCATATTTGTATAATTGTGACTAGAGCTCAGCAGCTGTTCTCCCCAGTCACAGCAGGATGTGATATGCTCAGACTACATTATATATTGTGTCATATTAAATAAGGAAACTCTCTCCTTGGCAAATTCTGCCTCTGGTGTGAGTAGATGGAGAGATTATTCTTGCATGATTTTCAATTCTCTTCTTTTCATTAAGCCTCTCACACTATCATAAAACATTTTTTTCAGTATGAGGTAATTCATTTGTCAGTCCAGTTAATCAGTGGTCCTGTCCCTGAAGAGGGTTAAATATCCTTCTTGTTAAGTTGATGTGAAGTTTGTCTTTCCAATTTTCTATCTGTTCAGGAAATTCATTTCAGACCCTACTGAGGAGCCAGACTGAACTGACAGATTGTGTATCATATAAGTCAATAAGCATTTATGAAGTATCTGTTATATACCAGGCACTGTGCTGAGTGGTAAGGATACAAAGAAAGGCAAAAGAGTTCCTGCTCTCAAGGAGCTTACAGTCTAATAGGGTGAAAACATGCAAACAACTATGTATAAACAAAATATATCGGTGGGAGATCTTGAGTGTGGTTATTCTGGTCACCATGGGAAGGAAGCTCACCAAATCTCACCCTTCCTCTGGACAGGAAGTGAGTTAGCCAACCTCATGTTGGCACTCTGGGGCAAAGCTCTGTTTGTTTCATACTAGTTACATCTCATATGTTATCCTACCACATAATCTATCTGGTTTAATTTTTATTATATATAAATGAAGATGGTTGAGATAAGATCCACTTTTTCCAACCACTGGTCGGTAGCAAAGTTCTAGTGGTTTGCAAAACTTTTACTACCAAAGACCTTTACTTCTTGAAACCTGTTATATTGAAAAATGTTTTACCTTCTCATCTTTGTTTCCTAAGTCCCACCACACTGAGGCTATGGAGGGCTAGTTCAAGGTAGGGAATTTAGATATTTTACTGTTCTTCAGGATAGGAAGGAAAACTGGATTAGATTGTCCTTACTATACCTCCCAGCTTCAATATTCTAGTTCTATTACTTGATATCCCAAGAATAAACTCCTTTCTAGGTGTTAGGGGAGGGAGGGGATAGGAATCAGGGATATCCATGGAAAAAGCCTGGCAAAGGAAAAATACTGATGACTTAGCCTCATGGATGGGATAGGATGAGGAAACAGGCGCCAGGACAGAACCAGGCAGTAGCACAAAGAGTTGAACTAACAGAACTGATGGGATGAAAGTTATCCACTTTTAATAGCTTATTCAATATCTCACTTTCTTAGGGAACACATTTATTTGTTTGAGACTAAGCCTCTGGAAAATGACACCATTTATCTTTTCTTACAGAGGTAAGAGCTAAGAAATGGCAGTAGCTGGGGAAAGTTTGATTAGAATAGTAATAGGAATCCAGCCCTTTTTCTTTTATCTGGTTTGTACACACTGTTGCCTCTGGACCAAGTGGTGGCAGTCAGGATATTAGAAGTTCTCTTTGTCCCAGCCACTTTATCATCCCCAAGAGCAGGAGGGAGAGTTCTCAGGCAGCATTACAGGCTGTTGTTTCAAGCCCTTTTTCAGTTGGCTCAGAGACGGGCAGGTGCCCTCAATACCTCCAAATGAGTTTTAAACTGCCTCTTCTGTCATGGATATCCCCATCAGAGAAAAGAAAAAAAAATCAACAACCCACAAAGTCAATGATGGAGATAAGGACATCACTCCCCACTCTTCTCTGAGCCTCATATCAGATATTTCCTGGGCTTCTGTTGAAATATCAGATGACATCATCTCGGATCTGGTACATTACAGCCAAAGATAGGCTCTGATTGAAGCTGTCACCTACTCTTAAGATCCCCTGGGTTTATGAATGACTCAGAAGTAGAGCTGCCACACAGTGGGTAACTGAACCACAGTAGTAAGTCCCAGTGTCCTTTACTGCTGCCTTGACAATTTCAAGTGTGAAGAACTTGTTAGAAACTATATTCCCTAAGAAATTTCCCTGGAAACCAGGACCATATCTGTCCTTGTGTTGATATATGAAAGTCAAGGAGTTATCCCAGTTTTTCTTGTACCAGGTCATTTGATGGCTGTTCAAGTCTCCTCCTTTCAGGGTACACTGTAAGGTGATGGCCATTCCAACACGGATAGACAAGGTTTGGTTTGGTTGCTCCAGCTGGATATCTGATACAACTTCTGAAAGGAAAAAAAAACTGTTATAGAGACTTTAAGGGGTCTTGGGAGAGGCTGGATGTACTGAACCAGCACCACAGGGAGGGATAGCTCCCATTTCACCTTCCCCTGAGAGTATTCCAATCAGCAGTACATACCCCAGGAGAATGGGAGCGGAGGGAAGCTTTGGTGCCTCCTTGCTGTTAGACCTCTCCTGTTTTCTTACCTGCATAAAAGAAGGTGAGGGAGGCAAAGGGCCAGACCCACTTCATGGCTTCAGTGCAGAGGAGAATGAATCAGCAGTGTGTGAAGCCCTTTCTTGGTCTCACCTGAAGAAGTCAGCCTGGATTAACAGGTGTTCTGACTGACTCTTGAGAAGTGACTTGTCAGTTATAGAGGGAGTATGGTGCCTGCCACTTCCTCAGGAGGTAGCTGATGAAAATATTTCCTAGAGTATAGGTATAAAAAGAGAGGTCAGCAGATTTAGGTCAGAAATAGCTTTAGCATTTCCTGTGCTCCACAGTATAGTGTATTGAAAACAATGCAAACTTTTAGAATCAAAAAGATCTGCTGCAGTGCAAAAAGCACCGGATTTAGAGTCAAGAGGACCTGGGTGTGAATCCAGACCTCTGTTACTTATTTATTCCATGGCTTAGAAAGGTGAAGTTGGCCCAAATGCTGGTTCAGGTGTGACCTTGAGCATATTACAATTTCTCTGTGCTTCAGTTTTCTCATCTCTAAAATTAGGGGGTTGGCATACATGATCTTTAAGGTCTCTTTTAGCTTTTAGTATGATGACAAGGAAGCCTGATTTCCCCCCCCCATCCTCTTAGATTTTGAAAGTTGATTTAATTCCCATTTTATTGTTTTAGTTCATTTTAGTGGAAAAAGTAATGGACCAGAAATCAAAAGCTCTTGGTATGTGGCTTTGGACAAATCACTTGTGGGATCCATGCCTTGTTTCCTTATCTGTAAAATGGGGATAAAAATGCCCACCCTACATAACTAAGAGTGTTATTGTGAAGATAAAATGTAATTATGAATGTGGTGGTGCTTCAAAAAATGTATAAAATGCTATATAAAAACAATACATCTGTTTGTCTTTTAAAGCCTTCTTAGTCTTCTGCTACTTACCTTTGTGTAGGCTTATTATTCTCCATCGTGTACTCTATTTTCTAGTCAACCTGGCTTGTTTGCAGTTTTATATACACAGCATTCTCTCTCGTATCTCCATGCCTTTGAACAGGACACTGCCCACCTCCCCTTCCAGCTGGGATATACTCATTTCACATTTCTATCTTGTAGAATCTCTAGCTTTCTTCAAAGCTCAACTCAGAACCCACCTCCTATAGGAAGCCATTTCTAATTCCCTTTAATTGTTAGTGCTCTCCATTGGAAATCACTTGACATGCATCTTATATTTTCTTTTTCATGTACATATTTCTCCCCTAATAGAATATAAGCTCCTTGAGGCCAGGGACTATTTTATTGTTATCTTAGTATTTAGCACAATGATTGGCACATAGCACTTAATAAATGCTTGTTAAATGGATGAATTATCATTTTATGTTAATATTTAATTTGCCATGATTGTTGGATTCATCTGAGAAGCTCCTTAGAGGGAAAGGAATTATTGACATACATAATTACTGAACAGTTCTGAACAAGTCAGCAAATATTTATGAAAAAATTGAATCATTTGAGGATAACTTTTCCCTTCACTTCTCATAATTTCTTTTTTAGCAGGGATAATTCAACCAGATGTCAAGGGAACATGTCCTTCACTTTACAACCTCTGTACTTTTGTTCGTAATGTTCTTTATGCCTAAATGTCCTCTTTTCTCACTTCTGAAAGCTGAAATACTACTTATCTTTCAACATTTCCTATTCTGCTCTTCTCCATTAACTCCTTATTCCACATCCTTTGGCACTCATGGGAAGGAAAGAAGAAATGAAGGAGATAAGCATCTACTATATTCCAGGCACTGTACTAAGTGCTTTACAAATATTATCTCATTTAATCCTGACAATGACCCTAGGAAATAAGTGCTATTATTATCCCCCTTGGGGAAACTGAGGCAGACAGAAGTTAGGTGACTTGCCCATTCTCACACAGCTAGTGTCTGAGGCCAGATTTCAACTAAGGTCTTCTTGACTCCAGGCTTAGCAATATGTCCACTATCCCCAGTGGTGATCTAAGTTGTGATGCAGTAGGATCTAGCTCATAGGGTCATAGTGAGGAAAGGGCTTTGCAAATCTTAGGTTATTATATAAATGTGGGTTAGCATTCTATTGCTTTGAGCTGTCCATGTGTGTGTTGTTTTCCCAATTAGACTTCATCCTTTTTAAAGAAGATTCTCAAAGGTCTAATTCTTTTGTCATTTCCTGCCTCCTTGTGCACCCTCTCCAATCTTACATAATATAGCACAGCACAGTATATAGAGATGAAATGTCTTCTTTGTGGAACAGCCAGGAGGTCAGTGTCACTGGATCGATGAGTATGTGTTGGGGCCTAAGGTATAAGAAGACCTGAAAGGTAGGAGAGGGATAGATGATAGGGGCTTTGAATGCCAAACAGCATTTTGTATTTAATCCTAGAGGCAAGAGGGAGCCATTGGAGTTTACCGAGTAGGGCTGAGGTGTGTGTGTGTGTGTGTGTGTGTGTGTGTGTGTGTGTGTGTGTGTGTGTGTGTGTTTGTGTGTGATATGATGGAACCTGTACTTTAGGAAAATCAGTTTGGTGGTTTGTAACAACTTATATTGACTTAATATATAAAGTTGATCCATATAACCACCCTATAAGGTAGGTAGATATTCACTATTAACTTTTCACAGATAAGAAAATGGAGGTTTGGAAAGCTAAAGTGAATCTAAATTCTGCCTCTGCCACTTACAACCTTAAAAGAATCTCAGAAATGCTAGACAAATTCAGATCTAGGATTGTAGAGCACAGTGTTTTAGCCTGTATTAGTGGCACCAAGATTATATAAAGGATTGGCACAACCAGTCCCTTGATGTTGGCCCCAAATGTTCCCAAACAAACCACTTTTCATTAATCAACCGTTTGGGCTCTGTCCTAAATGCATATAAATACTTTTTCGGGCATTATCTTATTTTGTCAGCCTGGACCACTTCTAGGAGTAGGAAGATTGTGAGTATTTTCATAAGTATTTTCTACTCTACAAAGTAGAAATAGATTCATCAATTACAGAACTTTAGAGTTGGATGGGACCTTAGAGACCGTCTCTTCTAACACATTCTGGAGTCCACCTTAATCCAAATGCTAGCTCAGGGTAGGGGCACTGAAAGGACCATAGGTGTATGGGAGCATAGATTTAAATCCCAAAGAAGGCTCAGAGGCCACATAGTACAGCCCCTTCAGTTTGCAGATATGGAGACAGATTCCCAGACAGGTTGAGTGACTTGCCCAAGATCACACAGGTAGTAAAAGGGAGAAGCTTTGAGCAAATTCCCAACATCAAGAAACCTTGAGGCCTATATGGGCCAAGAAGCCTTGACAAAGAAACAGGACCTGGCACCCACCATCACTAGCCCTGAAACAGTCTTCACCTCCTGGATTTATATGCTTTGGAAGTATAGAAAGAAGGGAAACGAACCTGTCCGGTTCCCATAGCAACAGTGAGACTTAGTCGGCTTGCTATGTTTTCCACTTTGCCTGGGTAAAGTAAGGGAAGTTAGTGCCTTAGGGCAATTCCCTGCCTGAGGTCCAGTAACCTGAGGGTGACCAGAAGAGGATAATTTTCAAGGCCTGGACCCTTAGGGAAGACCCAGTGAACTGAACAGTTTCAAGAATGTCTGGAATGATTCTCTGACAGAGAAATCTATGCTCTGAGTCCAATCCATATGAACTTTGTGTGAGGTCAGTGGCAGGTATTAACAGCAAGTCAGAAAGCGCTTTTTGCCCTTCAGTAAAGGATTGTCTTTGGCAGCATGGGAAAGAATGACAGTTATACCTCTTGGTATTCCTGGAATTTAGAAAAAAATATACAGAAAGAAAGAAATGAATAATGATCAAGTTAGATCACTATGTATTTTTTGGTCTCCTGCTTTGTACCTGGTCCTATACCTCTCCCCTCTAATAGAATCTGCTGTCCCAAGAAATTTATCATCAGTTTTGTCTGTCAGTCAGCCATCAAGAATTTAGTGAGTCTGGTGACTTTGCACAGCCCTCCCTCACTTAAATCCAATTCACTTGCAAGTCATGGCATCACCTCCCTGATGTCATGGTGCTCTTTGAGAATGAATGACAAATGATAACAAAAAACAGTAAGCACTTAACTGTGTGCCAGGCACAATGTTTAATGTTACAAAGAAAGACCAAAACCACACACCCTGTCTTCAAGAAGCTCACATTTTGATGGAGGGGGAAACTTGTGAACTACTACATGCCAGATGCATGTAGAATAGATTGAAAGGTCTGTAAATAAGGGTGTGGAAGCAATGGTGTGAGGAGTGGTCTGGCAGAGGCTTCTTTCTGATTGGAAGCTTGAGAGTTTATTCACATTTGATTATAAGAATACACCTGAAACTCCAATTTTCTGCTTGGTGTTATTTGGGAAATGTAGCTGAATTTGCAAAAGAAAAATCCTTGGTTTGTTTTATCTATTATTCGAACATCTTAGGCAGCAATGTCTGACTCAGATGTGTGCCTCTCTGTCTATTAGCTAATGTATTTCTTTTCCACCTGCCCCATTTCTGATTTCCAGTCTGCCCTCAGTTTTGATCCCTGGTTCTTTGGGAAACATAAAGAAGGACCAACACTCATAGGCATGTGTAGGTTGTACCAGTCACTGAGGAGTGGTGATAGTTACTGATGAAGGAAAAAGAAGCTATGCTTAACTTCCTGTCACTTTGGAGAGATATCTTTAGTTATAGCATCAGTTGCTGGGAGTACAAGACATTCTTTTGATAAGTATGTGGTTTGTTCTCTCCCACCAGACTTGGCTTGTGCTCGGAATACTTAGGCAAGTAAGAGTACTCTTCTGTTCTTCTGTTCCTCTGGAGTTTCTGGACCTAAATGGGTGTTTTAAAGTAAACACAAGGCAATTTTGGAAATCAATGAGGAAGGTTAATAGGTGCCAAGGAAAATTATAGTGCATTTATCTCTAAATCATCCTAATGGCTGGAATCCCAGCTGCAACATACATACAGCTGGATGAAACAAAGAAGAAGCTGCTCAAGAAAATTGGGAAAGGGCTCTGCTAGAATTGCTCGGATTCTGATTCTGCTGATGTCACTTTTTGAATGCAGAAATTTGTAAGGCGTTCCATATTTTTATCACAATTCAAAGCTCTATTGGAAACCTTCCTTGGTTATCCCCAAACCTCATATAATTCAGCAGCACAAGCTTTTCACCATATC